TTGATAGAGATTTCCCTTGATTTATATAAACTTTAAGTTTAATTTTCTTTACATACACAACAAATTTTTTGAAAGCTATTTCGCCAATGAATTTATACTAGATCGATCGTTTTTGAAGCAATTTAAAACATTCACAGTGCATGTTTTATCAGACCATCTTTATATCTGATAAAACACTGCCGCTCATGTTTTAAATAGTACATAAAATCTATAAAATCTCTGCAAATCTCCATAGTGACTATAGTTGCCGAGCAAAAAGCATGCATGATGCTAAATATAAATCTTGGCTATGATTGGATGAGTGAAGGTGCTAATTACAAAACGTCAATCATCCTTAATGGGCGAAAACAAATTTGTCATAGCCATTTGGGCAAGCGTTTTCTCAGGTCCCGCCCGTCAGCTAAACACCTGCTATGCAGGCTAGTTCACCAGCGGACAGGTAATTCAAGTTTTGCGGCAGACAGTATTTCCTTTGACTCCCTAATGTTTGCTGCCTGTAGAAATACCGCCTGCCATGCAGGCTATGGAACTCAGAAAGCCCGATAATTACTACGGCGCCTGCTTGGCCACCTAGCCTCCTTTACCGTTTGGATTGTCAGGGGGGGATTCAAATAAAAAAACACCTATTTCCGGCAACAGCCAGCCAATCAATGCCGTGATACCGACTGTTTACAATATTTGAAATCTGATATTGTAATTTATCAACAACAAAACTCTTTCGATCGATCGATCATATGCAGTGTTTCCACTCCCAAAAAAATAATTTCCTTCTCCATAACCCGAAATTACCTTTTTTTTCCACAAAATTTCCTTTTTTTCCACAAAATTTCCTTCCAAAAATCTCTAAATAGCCTTCCATTTTTCCTTCAACATTTGTATCACAATTGACAGATTTACCTGGTACTTAACATCTAAACTCTAGTATTGAAACACATTATATTAATTTATAGCAGATAACTTTGTATTTTGCCAGTTAAAATCAGCTCATATTCGCGCCCCCACAGGAGACAAAAAGCATAATAATTTGGAGCTACTTACTGTGGGTGCGAAAAGAGATTCCATAACTTTGGGGGGTGCACGAGGCGCCACACCATGGTTGGCACCGAGCGGAAAATTTTGAAAATATGGAGTCTCTAGATTGTTGGAAATGGCATTTGCAGAGTCTTTTTGCACAAAATTGTATGAAAATTGCCTTATTCTTAGAAATTATGAGATAAAATAGATTTCCTTCTCATTTCCCTCCTTATAACAATATTTCTTCCCAATTTCCTTCCAAATGCTATTTCCTTCCAAATTTCCTTCCAAAGGCCCAAATTTCCTTCTGGAAAATGCTGATCGTAAAGTATAAGATAGAAAGAGAGCTTTTGCAAATTACAATATCAGATTTGAGATTTCAAATATAGTAAACCGTTGCTATCGCAGCATTGATTTGCTGGCTGTTGCTGCTGTATACGATCGAAAGAGTTTTGTTGTTGATAAATTGCAATATCAGATTTCAAATATTGTAAACAGTCGGTATCGCGGCGTTGATTGGCTGGCTGTTGCCGGAAATAGGTGTTTTTTCTTTGAATCACCCCCCCCCCCCGACAATCCAAACGGTAAAGCAGACTAGGTGACCAAGCAGACGCCGTAGTAATTATCGGGCTTTCTAAGTTCTATAGAATTTTACTCTCGAAACATTTCGCTAAAAATCCATTGCAAAAATTGTAGGACGTGTTAACTCATTAACGCCCAATGCGCCCTGAGATTGACAAGTGGGTAACGAACAATGCGTCCGCATGTACCCTCAAATGACACCTCAACTTGCGGCCATGATATTTGAGCACGTGTTTAACTGGTTGCCTAGCAACTGATAGGAAAATAGAACGTGAAATTCGAGCTTTTCAACGGTGTAGCATGCAAGAAAATTGGTCAGAAACTCGCAAATTTTTTCAAGTTTAAAACCTTAGTTTTTCAAAAATAATGAATAATGGAGATATTGTTGCAAAGAAGGATTTTACAGCAAGTTTTAAAAGCAAAAAAAGGAGAGGTTTTCGGATGATATACAATGAAAATTTGGCATGAAAGGAAAGCAAATGTATTGACGTTTTGGGCCAAGTTTTCTGTGTGAGGATTTCTCCAAACTTTATTAAAAATAGAAGTCGGAAATTACAAGAAAGATGAACACGGAACACAAGTGAGCAGATAAGATTTTTTAAAGGGTATTTTTGAGTAGAAATATGCGATCAAACACTCACAAAATTCGACCGCATTAATGTTGGTTGAATCTAGTTTAAAGTTATCTTTTTAGACAAACTGTTTATGCAAATTTGGGCACAATTTCGACTGTTTTCGTGACCCCATTGTTGGTCTTCTTGTTCAAGTTGTTATTTTAGCTAAAGTATGTTTCAAACGACACCAGATTGTGCGTACGTGACCTTTTTTGACCTTTTTGGCAAGAATGCTTCAAGTATTAAATTACACTAAACAAGTAGGAAATTCCAAAGTCACTGTTATATCTATTTTCATCAATTTAGTCTTAAAATGACAACTCGTTTCAGACATATTGTGGTTTAAAATGAGTGTATTGAATAACCGCGCTTGTTTGCCGCGTGCAAATTCTCAAAAAGTCCGCACTTGAGTTGTAAAGCTTTCAAAATGCTTTTTTACTGGTTTTTATATCCCCTATAAAACTTTAAATTGATAAAGCAGATAATAATGTTGATGAAACATCATTTTCTAGTAACTACACATTGAATCAGAAGAAAAAGTATCAAAATAGGTCGCGACGGTTGTTTGGCAAAATGTCGCTTCTCTCTGAAATGGCTTCCTTTGCGGGAAGCCATGAAATTGAAGTCCTAACAAAAACTAACCTTAGCAGTTCTTTTGGGCCCATTGCTCACTTATTTATCATGAAATCGCTTCACTAGAACATTTTTAATACTGTCTATGGAAAACTTTGTAATTTTCTGAACTAAAAGTTTATGGTTTCGAGGTGTTTATTTTATAAAATAGCACACGCGACAAAATGGCACTTTTGTGGTTTCTCACGTCTGACAAACAACCAAAGATGAAAGTCCTTATTTGACCTTTTTATAGCTATGTGGAATACCTGAATATTAGGTTATCTTTTTCATGTGAGTATATAGATAACATTTCTACACAATAGTCCTTATTCAATAGTCCATAGTCAAACTAAAAAAAAGAGATTGTTTTTCAGAGCCAGACTTCAAAAGAGAACGCGTGTCTGACATTTTATAGCAGCCTACATTGGCGCGCAAAATAATTTTGGCCAAAAACCGTTGCTTTTCCAACAAAAACATGGGAAAATTGAGCTAAAAGTCTTACCTGATGTATGTTTAAAATGTTTTTCTTTTTATGGTGTTTTTCAGCGCTTTGAGTAGAGAGGTTAACAGCTTTTGGTTTTGTCACCACAATTTGCCTTTGAAAATGTCGGCTGTCATTGTTTGTGTTAAAAACACCTCAGAAAATTCCTATTTTCTCACCTTCCCATCCTTGGTTTATATTGAAAATAAATAGATACTAGTACCATATGTCGTTATAAATATATTTGAAGTAATTAAAAACTTGAAAGACGTACAAGCACTGTGTTTTGGCTTGCACACTTTGTTGAATTTGAACACTTAGTTACTGTTCTAAATTTCATGTTGTAAACATCTTCCCCAAAAAAGCAAAGGAGTATATTTTATAATTTTTGATCATTTTCTAATTCATATCCCAATAGATGAAAATTGGTTATAAAATAGATATGTACTAATTTAGTGAATAATTTTTTTTTTGTTTTTTTATATAAATTTATGGAGATATTGCCCCTTTAGGTGTATAGTGACATGAAAAACAAAATGTCACTGCTTTACAAATAAAAATTCTCATTGAAAAAACTAATGATATATATAGGTATGCAAGTTCATTTAAACTAAATTTGGTCAATCATATATCAATAATATTTGGTTGAAAAAACCAGATTTTTTCATGCAACTGTTTCTGAGATATTGCCATTTTGGTGAAAGCTCTTGAATTCAATCATGTATTCGCCATTTTGCTTGTCCACTTTGGGGGTAGAAACATTGTAACAGCTTGCTCGTTAATGAGTTAATATTGCTTTGTCTGTTCGAAGATGGGTTTTTATTCTATACGCTGGCGAAGTTTTACCGGGAACAAAGCAATTTGAAGGGGATATTTTTCAATTTGAATTGTTCGTGTCGGCTGTTTGAGAACTGGAATCGTTAGCCTTTGCTTCAATACTATCAAGTATCACCTACGAAGACAGTCGCAGGCATCGAATGTAAAGACGATCACATACAATCAAAGTAGGCAAGTAAATATATTTTAAAATATAAAATTCATTACAAATTTTACTGTGTAGTATATTCTATGTAATGATATATTTATTTACACTAATACACGTCTGGGCCGCCTGTGAGTAGGTTTTTAAAAATAAATACAATATTATCAGGGTTGCCAGGTGGTCTGAGCCCGAAACAATCTCGAAACCAGAGCCCGCAATCCTCTGTGGAGGCTTGCTGAGGCTCTGGGAAACACCGGCGACTCTTTTGCACGAAAATCAGTACATTTGGTCCGAGGACACCGCACAACATTTATATGCAAACATGGCTGCCGTACAGGGAGTAGCTTGTGAAAACGTGAGAACTGATGATATTGTTCAGGCGAACTGCGACCCTAGTTCTTCTTCTAAGAACTCTCGCCCGGGTCTTAAAGAACTGAATGACATTGAGAGCGATATAATTAAGTTGTTTCATGACGGCTTGGATAATGGATTGCATGTTCTCAACCGTGCAGATGATGTGATAAAAGAGCAGCAGTATGAAGCACTAAAGGCAGTTACAGTCAACAAAAGGGATTGCTTAATTGTTTTACCTACGGGGTTTGGGAAATCCCTTATTTTTCAGCTCCTGCCATTTGTATTTGAATACACGTTATCACTAAAGCCTTCAGCTCCATCGACATCTATTATTGTGGTATCACCTTTGAATGCACTCATGCGTGATCAAGTGTCAAAACTAAAAGAGAGTATCACCATCGGTATTGTAAATAATAAGTATGATACATGTGATTCACATGAAACCGTAGCCAGTTATGACTTAAAAGAAATTATTTCAATTATGCCTCGAATTATATTTGCCCATCCAGAGTCTCTGGTTAGTGACAAGAGAGCGTTGAAGCTTCTGAAAGCGAAGAAATGCCAAACATGTGTGTCTGCTATTGTGGTTGATGAGGCTCATCTAGTTATTGATTGGTAAGTTACAATAATTTTAAAAATTGGTGGGAAAAAATTATCCTTATTTGTTAATGTACAAGTCAAATCCAACTGCGATCATGCAACCTCTGGGAATTTGACTTTTGAAAAAAAATAAGTAGTCAAATGCCCACCTGAACAGGCAGGCACCATAGTCAAATGCCCTGCTATAGGGATAGCCCTGATTCTGGAATTTTGGCTAAATGTTATATTTAATACAATATCAAAGATATATTTGTTTATATTATATTAAATATATAAAACCTGAGAACCTGAAACACAATATTAAAAAGAACGAAAAATAGGTCAGTCAGTTCTTTTTGTTCAACTGGGCGTATTGATATCATATAATCTATTCTATGATTGATATTTGTGGTTCAGTAGCAATTTATAATTTTTTAATTTATCGAAAAGACGAAAGAGCTATAGTGTACATATATTTTAAGGAAAAACTGCTGAGCAAGTTGTTAACAATTGGTCAAATACAAGGCTGGCGAGAGGGGGGTAGGGGGCACGGGGGTCATCAGTGTGAGAGTTGATGGATGGGGGGACCGTGGTTGCTCTCACTGCCCTTGCTCAAATGCCTGACCAGGTACTGAGGTAATCTTAAGTCAAATGCCCTGGGGGGAGGGGGGATGATCACAGTTTAATTTGACAAGTACATAACATATCTACCGGTTTTATTTTAATGATCCAACTAAATTGTCCACTGTCACTTGGACAATTTGTTTAAAGATTAGTTGCTATTGGTTGAAAATACATGTGTAGGTGATAAACAAGGACCACATTTTTGCTTATATAAACCAGTAATAATATTGACAAATAAAAATTATAAATCCAAATTATTACTCCAGACTATTACCTATGGTTATATAATGCACAAGTTTAAATTAGGGATCTATTACTGTACCAGTGCAAGATGAAAAATTAATATATCATTTTTATACACATTTTTTAGGGAGAAATTTAGACCAGCATATGGTAAACTTGGGATATTGGCAAATATATTCCCACATACTCCTATTGTTGCAATGACTGCAACTGCCACTTATGATATGCAATGTAAAATAATTGAATCCCTTGGTATGAACTGTCCACAAATTGTCAAAACTAATCCTGACCGACCAAATATTTATTTTTCTTGCAAAAAAAGAGGCAATTCAGCGGAAGAAAAATTGGCTCCCATTTTAGATAATCTTGTTGCAGAATTGGACTCCCTTGGGTTGAATACACCATTCACCCTGGTATATGGTACCCTTGAAGTAGTGTCTGAATGCTTCCTCTATGTAAGCAGTAAGCTTGGAAAAAACAGTATTATCCTCCTGGGTCACAGTGCATTTCTGCTAACAGACTTTTTGACCAATATCATGCCCATGTTCCTGAACATAAAAGACATGACATTGTGGATGGACTCCTATCAGGTAACTCTGTCTTGAGGGTTCTTTTTGTTACAGTGGCATTTGGGATTGGAGTTGATCTTAAAGACATAAGAGAGTTATACACATTGGTGTACCATACTCGATGGAGGAATATTTTCAGGAGATTGGAAGAGGCGGAAGGGATGGACTTCCATCTCCTGCTACACTATACTATAATTCTCATGACTTGTCAAAAAGAAGGAAGGAAATGAGCAATGTAATGAGAAATTATGTCACCTCAACTAGTGTATGTCGACGTGAAATGATCTTAAAATACTTTGGGTATATCTTGGACGGTTGTACCTTACTTCCTATTCACAAATGTTGTGATTATCACAAAGATATATGCTATTGTGAAGATTGTTCTGTAGAGATCGTAAGCGAAGTCGACTTAGCCTTGAGGGACATTGTATTAGCCAACACAACACTATCAGATTGTCAGGAAGTTGATTTAATACAACTACGTGATGAATTAACTTCATATTGGCTTAATCTACATTATGGAAGGTCATGTATTGGCAGCACATGCTTCAGTTCTGGTTACAGCATTGAACTGATCGAACAGGTTTGCTCATCATTTGATGTGGTTAATAGTTTTGATGATGTTATGACTATGATGCCAGTTTTTACAAAGAACAATGCCATTGTAATTTGGGAAGTGTTGAAAAAGTATAAATGATATATTAATGCAACAAGTAATGTGATTCACTGTTTGAATACTTAAACAGGATCTATAAACTTCAAACTGCGAAAGCTGTCAATTATGTAAATATTCAAAATCAAATCTGTCAAAAATAACTTTGGACAAAGGCTTTCATCTGGAAGTTAGTAGTGTCACATGGTTATAAGTGAGAGTTATTTCTGGAGAAGGGTCGTAGTTTATTTATTTATTTATTTATTTATTGTGCTTCGCTTCCAAACATACAATAATTGCATTAAAGAAGCTGGGACACCACAACAGCTTAACCACCAATTACAGTGGGCCCTTTACAAAATATCAATATAAATATAGAAAACAGAAATAATTAACAATTTATTGCCGAAGGCCAGGTGATTATCGGTGAGTAGGGACAGAGACAAAGTCGAAGTTTTCATTTAACAATAACCACCAAGCCTGAGGCGAATAATCGTTTTAGTATAATTTCATAGGTGATTGTTTGGGAAAAAAATAAAAATACACATTTCTTCATCATTTAATAGTCAAAACTTAGGTGATTATCGCGTTATAATCACGTCAACGGCAACCAATCAGCTTGGAAAATTTTCAATAATCACCTATGTAATTATACTTAGTTTACTTAAGGTACGTTTACACACCGCGATCCGCCGTGTACGACTCGTATTTTTGCGAATCCAATCGAGTAGGCACGCGTCAATTGTGCATTTAAAGTTTCGCTTCAATTCAGATTTTTGGAATTGAGGCATCAAATGAATTTCATACACCAAAATCCGAATCGCACAGGACAAATCGCAATGTGCAAAGGCCCCTCTAGTAACGGCAAGTTAATGGTCAGATGAGACTTCTGCTTGTGTTACATTTGACACAGACAGTCTTCCAAGTTCGTGGATCGTCAACGTTGTAGCAGGATCGTAATGCAGTCAAGTAGTATGCTAAAGTTGTATCGCCATGTAAACATACGAGGTATTTAAAACATATTATTTTGTAAAATTATTCAAAACATGAAGGAGGTACAGAGATTGATAAATGCAATAATTTATTACAATATTTTAGATACAATAAATCTTATTCAATACTTATTGTATCTAAAATGTTGTATATTTGAAGAAACATTCAAACCCAATATTTATCCTTCAAATGATTTTGTAATCAATAGTAGGGTGAAGTGGTTCAGGGTATAAACAGAAAACCCTCTGAAAAAAACACGATTTTTGTAACTTATATCAAATGAAAATATATTACATTTAGATTAAACTTCATGCTACACGTTCAATATTTTAGTTGTAAAAAGCAACTATATTAATGGTATGAATGTATAATGATACATTTCAATGCTTTGCAATTTTGCACAAATATGTTGCAAAATTTTCATAAAATTTTCCAGTTTTTTTCTCCCTAAAACAACATTGGTTTTAACGCCTCATGCACCCTACTGTATACTTCAGCAGTATAGTATTCTAAGGATGTGTTACAGTCTATTCTTTGCATTCATCATCATAATAATAATAATATAATAATAATAATAATAATAATGGCTTTATTTCCCACATTAATTTCAATAGCGGATATGCTAAATTATAATGTGTTTACAATTTAGTTCAACTACTTGTTAAAACTACAACTGATTCTAGAATATTACGTGCATATACAAAATTATATCTAAAATACAACTAAAATATTTCTAAACATTAGTATTTAGGTTAAGATGATCACCAATTACACTACACTCTTATATTCCAAACACAAGACCACCTGACAACACAATTTCTTATTAGCATCATATTGACATTCTCAATTTAAAAACTACAGTTTTAGCCTATCGTTATATTTATCTATTGCATATACTAACGGACTGCGTTTAAATTTTTCAGTTCTGCAGAAGTTATAAAATTTGTCCGGATTTGTTCTTGTTTCTCTTCCTTTTACCTCAGAGCATTTCCTAGGAAGCAATGAATGTAATTTATGTGATGGTTCTGCCATCTGGTTGATGAGACGAACACATAAATCATCTACTCATATTCAGGAACAATTATCCCCAAAGCTCGTTTCTGTACTCTTTCAATATCATTACGCTGTGCTTGCGTCAAGTTGCCGTTCCATACCTGGGCACTATACTCCAAGGTTGATCTGATAACACAGCAATAAAAGGTCTTGAGGTCGTTTTTGGTGTGCCATAACCCTTAAGAACCTTAAAAAATCAATCAATCAATCAATCAATTTATTTACCACACAACATTACATTCCAAGATTCCCTTATATATACTCATATGCTATAATAATATTGGTCCCATTTTACAATCCATTATTTGTTGAATTATATAAAAAAATATTGTTGCGCAGAAGGTTGAGCAGTGAGAAAGCTCGAGAGAACTTGAACAAGCACTGATCAACCAACGGAACTGGGAAGGAGATTTTTAAGAATCTATGTATTCAAATGATTGAGTGAAGGAGATATGGCTATATAGAAATAAATCATAAACTATATTATACTCAATATTTATGAATAAAAACATAGACGTTTGGTTGCTTTCTTAATAATGTACTCTGTATTAGAGTCCTAATAACTTGTAGGTTTTCACTCTAGACATAGGTTGTTGCCCAATGGAGACAGGAGGGATTACAGACTTAATCTTTCTAAAATCTACTACCATTTCATTGCATTCCTTAGCGTTCAATTCCATTTGCTCACCGAATTATGCTATCAATATTATTTTGACTATTTCCGATGCAATTTCCAGATACATGATTAGTGACATCAACCACCTCAGATAAAGTAGTGTCATCCATAAATATAACAATGTCGTCTTGTTCAGAACCTCCATTCTGATCATCATTGGGTGTTTCAACAACATTGGCCAGCTGGTTAATCTTTATAATGAGGGCCAGGGCCCCCCAATTTACTTCCTTGTGGGATCCCTCCTTTTATACTTTTACACTCTGATTTGTGGTTTCTAAACGTACACATTTGTAGTCTACCTTGTAAATATGTCGCAAACAATCTTATTAACGAAGGGCGCACACCAATGTTCATAAAATTTCCTAACAAAATGTTATGGTTGATCAAATCATAGGCTTTACGAAAGTCCAAAAAGGAGATTCTTACAACCTTTCCCGTGTTTTCAAAACAGCTGAAGATCCTGCAAGGCCACCAAATTGAGAATCACTAATTTGTTCTTGAACGTCATCAAGGATCCATTCAACAGCATACGATTCTTGCACTTTGGAAAGTACGCTAGTAAGGGAAATTTGGCTTAACTCCTCCACTCTATTACATGGGATAGTTTTGGGGATAGCACAGGTGTTAAGAGCGGCTCCCTGTAAATATCGAATATTGAGTTTCATATGAAAATCGAATTGACTCAAAATTTCACAGAATAACGATCAAGATGAAATATTAGTTCTGTCAAAGTTTCAGCTCAATCGAATGAATATTCCGGCTGATTGACGAAAATTTCTTGGTCTTCCACATTCTCCGTGTCGTGTCGGCCATTTTTGTTAGAGTACTATAGAGGGCCCAAATTTTTTAAACACTTCGTGTTGTAAAATTTTGAAAACGTGAGCAGGAAATAGGATTAATTTCCCCTCAGGAAATTATATTTTGGTGGAATTTCATGTATTCCTTAAAGTTTCACAGACATCTAAATTTAGGTTAATTTTCAATCAACAGAAAATTAAGGAAGTTTGAACATAAATATCATCCACTGGTACATGGCATTGTTTCTTAAGACTTTTACCTGGCGAAAGTGCAACCTTTGTTCTTACTCCTTATGCAATAAAATCCTTGGGAAAATTAAACTGCGCAACATTTTCGCGTAAGACACAAGGCACCCTGACAGTTATTGAATGCAACGTGCCGCCGACATCACGAACTATAATACAATGTTAAAAGGGCAAAAATTACAAGTTAGCAGCACAAACAATTATTAGATATACACTCTGGCAAATGTGTTAGGAATTTAGAGACTATTACTTATAATAAATGAGCAAGTTAGTGCATATTTTTTTAGAACAAGTGATTTATATAGCCAATTATATAGCCAATTATACATGAGGGATCTATATCTATGAACTGTAAATTGTAAAACGCGAGACTGTGACATTTTAATTGTCTGTTCTTTGATTTTTGCACAGTAGTTTTACTGCCGTTCTCTTCGCTTTAAGTTTACCTTTTGGAGGAAGATAGAATACTTCTGATAATCATCTTGTAGGCTAAATACGGTTGAAGTTTTCGAGACGTAAACAAATAATAAGCGGAAGTAAAACTGAGTCAAAGTGGTACGTAGTATTAATTTTAATTATTAACTGAAAGAAAAGTGTTTACTTTGGTCAATTTTAGCATAAAGGCCAATCGATGAGTACTATTGATGTATATTTGTAATTATTACAAATTATAATTAACAATTATTTGATGAGGTTTTTGTGATATGTGGAATTATCAAGGTCGAGGTAAGAATTATCAGCCGAGCCGAAGGCGAGGCTGATAATGCTTACCGAGACCTTGATAATTTTGCATATCACAAAAACCGAATTCAATAATTGTTTTATTATACATGTGAAGAATAATAAACATAGTATTTTAATATTTTAATTTCTTTGCGATATGCAAAATTATGAAGGTCTTGGTAAGCGTTATATTCAATATGATTTCTGGCAAAGCTGTTCAAGTAAAACGTTTCTATAAACAAGTCTCCGGAAGTCCAACAGTTAAATTAATTACAAATATAGAAGACACATATTATTGTTAAGATGTTAACGTATTAAAATATTTACTTGTTAAAGTAAACATTACAATTATGAAATATACATTCATTTGAAAATTGAAATGTACACTCATTTGAAATGTACACTCATTCAACCTCACGCAACCTACACAAAATTCAGTTACCTGCTAGCAGATAACTGAATTGTGTGTAGGTTGCGTGATTGCGCGATTTAACTGTAAGCTCTTAGCCAATATAATTGCTTTTATCAACTACAATGTATAATAATAATTATTATTATTAATGCTAGTGTCGCTAGTATTAATTGAGTATACAATAAACCTGGTTCACATATACCTGCGGTATGTTGGCCGTCGGCGGGTTATTGTCGTTTAACAAAATTGTAGTTCAACCAAATAATTCACAAAATAATGTATGCATCAACAGCTGGAAACAATGATAGCGCAGGCATAGGTGAACCAGGCTTAAAGGCCTGCATTTAAACCGCATTTCCGTCCTTTTAATTAAAAAACTAACTAGGAAAATAGATTAAGCATAATTCAAGAGTCCGCAAACTTAATGTTTTTAACATTTTAAAATATATTTATTGTTAAAAACATTGCCTTTACTGATCTTGAATTATGCATAATTGATTTTCCTTTTAGTTTTTTCAATCAAAAAGGCTGAAATACGCCTTTAACAAATCTCAGTGTTAATTAACGCAGTGCATGTATGCATGCTGATTAATCGAACACTAACAATGCAGTTGATTTTCACCATAATTGAGAGCAGTTTTGATCATTTGCCTTCATTTTTGGTAAATAAGTCATATTACAATTCTAGTCATTTTCAATTGCAGTCGCATGTTTCAACTAGTTCTGTTATCTTTGCGATGTAAGGGGCTTTGCGCCCAGAAGTAGTGCCGGGCTTCCATGTTTATGTCAAAATGATCGCAGACATTCCGAAGCATGGGTATGCTTAGTTTATTCAGCTTACTTTCTTTGCACAGATTGTAGGTGTCGAACACGATAGGATGGCGGAGCTGGACTTCGCTAAGGACTAGCGTACGAATGTCCTCGCAGGCCTGTTCTTCTTCTGCTGCAGCTATATCGTCATCATTAGGCTCCAGGTTGGTCTCGCATGTCGACTGCCCCTGACGTCGTAATTTTGCAGCCCTCCTCGAGAAGAAAGACTGGATTTGTCTGGCGGTCAAAAATTCCTGAACAGTAAACAGTCTTGCTCCTTTATTGTTTCGAGCGAAGCGCATGTCATGTGCTACGACTGCTGGATCTTGCTTGTAGCCTGCTTATTGACCAATCATAAACTTGTCTTTGAGGTAACGTTTCTGGGTATCACTGAAACGATTCCCCTTCTTAGATGAGCTCAGGGCCCAACCCACTGGGAGCGGTGTGCTGCCCTCCTGAGACATCGCTTCGGCCTGAATAGATATTGAAGCACATCCGCCTTCGAGGAGTTTCTGCGGTCTCCTTTTACGGTCTTGTGTAGCGCCCATTCAATTGGACATGTGCAACTTTTTTTTATTGGACCGCCATCTGATTCCAAAACTTTCACGATGCCTTGGACATACCGTAACGGCACGGCTGACATCATCCACCTTAAAGATACCTTGAAAAATAAATCGAGCATGATTATTATTCCACTATCTGAAACCTCACGAAATTTAGGTCACTGTCAGATGGGGATCCTTCCACCGCTTGTAAAAGTTTCGATACTACATCTGAATCAACTATGCCTAATTGTCGTTGAACAGGGAGTTTGAACAAATGAAACAAGAATATATCTAGACCAAGTGTGCACGATTTCTGATTGTACCGTACATGTAATAAAATTATAAGTATTACCTGCTTGTGCCAGCAAAAGCTTTTCCTCAGAGTTCACGCTAGTGTCCCACACTTTGTAGTGATTTAGATGATCTTTAACGTTCTTATCGCATTCTCCAATTGTTACACAATGAGTGGAAGATCTATTTTCTAAACTAGGACCACACGGTCCTCCCACAAGCTCTGAATATTGGCACAATGCCATTTTATGGCGGATAGGCTAGTAGCTGCTTACATTCCAGAAGGCAGAAGACAAAGAAATCCTAAATTCAGGGGCAGTGACAACATTTTTGTAGTTTTACATCGGCAATAAACTCTATTCTGAAACTCTTGGAAAGCAAATTTGATGACGTGTAGTGCACTGGAAGGCCAGCTTTTGTAAATTTCCGCATATTTATAGATCTGTTTATATATTAATTGCTTGACCTTATTATTAACCTTGACCACTTCCGCTCACTAATTTGTTTGTTTACATCTGGAAAATCTCTGCCGTATTTGGCCCTCAATTCTCATGGTAAACTTTCAATGTGACAAGGCGATTATCGGAAATATTTTGTCTTCTACTCTTCTTGTAAAAGTTAAACTCAAAGCGAAGAGAGCGGCAGTAAAACTACCGTACAAGTAAATAGGCAAGTAAAATTACAGTGAGTCTCGCGGTTCATAATTCCGGTCTATGATTATTGGCTATTTTTAAACGGATTTAAAAATCACTTGTTCTAAAAAATTACGCATAAACTTGCGCATTTATTATAAGTAATAGTCGCTAAATTTCTAACACATTTGCTAAAATGTATATCAAATAATTGTTTGTGCTGCTAAGTTGTAATTTTTACCTTTTTACCATGGTGTTAATATAGTTCGTGATGTCGGCGGCACGTTGCATTCAATAACTGTCAGGGTGCATTGTGTCTTACGCGAAAATGTTGCGCAGTTTAATTTTCCCAAGGATTTTATTGCATAAGGAGTAAGAACAAAGGTTGCACTTTCGCCAGGTAAAAGTCTTAAGAAACAATGCCATGTACCAGTGGATGATATTTACGTTCAAACTTCATTAATTTTCTGTTGATTGAAAATTAACCTAAATTTACATGTCTGTGAAACTTTAAGGAATACATGAAATTCCACCAAAATATAATTTCCTGAGGGGAAATTAATCCTATTTCCTGCTCACGTTTTCAAAATTTTACAACACAAAGTGTTCAAAAAATTTGGGCCCTCTATAGTACTCTAACAAAAATGGCCGACGCGACACAGAACGTGGAAGACCAAGAAATTTTCGTCAATCAGCCGGAATATTCATTCGATTGAGCTGAAACTTTGACAGAACTAATATTTCATCTTGATCGTTATTCTGTGAAATTTTGAGTCAATTCGATTTTCGCCGTATGAAACTCGATATTTGATATTTACAGGGAGCCGCTCTTAATATACTCAGCGGACTCTTTTGCGCTTAGTGGATTTTCAGTTTTCGGATCTATAATAGAGACTGAATCCTGCTTAGTTCCAACAACTTTCTTTATCTGTTTCCACCATAGCTTTGGGTTATGGCTGCTTCTCGGTTTAATTCTCTTATCAGTAGTATAGGGAAGAGGGGTTCTGGCACGGGTGGATCCACCAATGATGTCATCACAATATAATTTCATATCAATTACTTGCGCTTATAATGTCATTAAAACGATAATAACCACAATTGCATTGTGTTTTAACAAAACTTTAACCATTTACTATTTTACTAATGCATCCTTGCGGGAATTCTTTTTGTCCAGGTGTCTCGAAACACGATAACTCCTTTAGTTCTTATTCCCATATGTTAAGTATTTTATTCATTAACGTGGTATTTCACAATTAATCGAATAATAGTTGAAAACAGAACAACTCAGGTTTAATCAGAATTTTGAGGGGAGAGAATAATAAACTTTGACTTTTTTATATAATAACAGTTGTTAAAAATGGCCCCCATAGAGTATATATAAAAAGGTGTATTTAAATTCATCATTTTACAAGGTTTTATTAGATTATCTTAGAGAGTCGACCCACTAATTTAACACCATCCTTATTCAGTTTTCCACCTATGTTACTTATTTCTTAATTTCATAATGTCCATGAGACAATGTGTTAACACCATCTTCTAAAATATAACGTTTATCATCATATGGACTTAAAGCAATCTTGTTTAATTTGATGGAGTAGATCTCATGACCGTGACTTCGAATCTGATTCATTGACGCTTTTGTGTGCTTCTTATTGAATAAGCATGTTTTATAATTGTCATGTCTTATCTTCTTCTTTGTCACCGACTTCTTTATCCCTTTAGCTGTCTTCTCCACCAGCTTACTCTTCTCGGTGTATAGGATGGAGTACATCTTTGGCCTTAAACCAACAAATTCTTGAATTGGAATTATATATATATATATATATATATATATATATATAGTGACAATCAATTTGAGAATTTTGGGAGCAGATTTAGCAAATTAGACTTTCCATGCTATGCTACCAGGCCTTGTTATCCATTTTTGAGTGCATGTGAAGGGAGTGACTTTAGCACACAATTAAAACATTACTATTATTGTTTATAATTACTATTATTGTTTATAATCCCCGAGCCGGCGGCGCGAAGCGCCGTGCGAGGGTACTAATTCCCCCCGGCTATTTACACCCGGGGAAACGAAACCATTAGCCAAGTCTAAAGTTCATCAAATATCGCGGGCGTGGGTCACTGTGCGTGGGTGGTCATCCTCACTGATCTCAAAAAGATGGCGGACTGTCATGGATAGCGAACACTGATTGGTCAAATTTAAAATTTGTTGTTGTATGACAAATCACGACTTCAACTGACAGATACTTCATGAAAATAATTTGCTTTTTGCACTGCAGTATTTTGTACGTTTGCAAAAAACTTTGACAGCTTTCAAAGCAATTTGCTCTATAAAGAGTTTAATAAAACAATTATGGTATCAAATACCAATTGAAAAGATATGGACTACTGTATGGAGCCAAATGAAGAGCGGCAAGGAAACGAAAAGAAAGCCGAACGTCTCGCGAAAAGGAGGGAGCCAGCGAAGACGACAACGTTTGCTCGAGGAGACTGCTGAGGAAAGAGAAGCTCGCCTGGGAAAGCGTAGAGAAGCATGGAAAAAAAAGACTGCTGAAGCGAAAGGTATTAAAGCAAAGGCTTGTCTTCACAACGCTATGTACCAATGATACTGTAGCTATACAAGTTTAAGTATGATATTCGACCCTCTATATTCGACTATTTCTTCACAATTTTCCAATAAAGAGTTTGTCATGACACGCTCAAGTCAGTATAACCAGACTGTATTTTATTTATATCAGTTATCACAGCCACAGGCAATTTTATGCTGTCAAATACCGTCGGTGGCAACTAAGGGTGAACAGTTGCAGATAAAACATTCTCTATTCTCATTAAAAAGCCTGTAAAAGTTTCCAGTAGGTCTCTAGCCCAACAAGTTCAGACAAAGTTTTGTTACTTATTTTTATTGCACACATGGGAAACAACAATTAAGTGTTGTTGTTCTTGACAAACATTGAAGATTCTAATCACGCGAATGTTTTTATGAGCGACTGTTCATCGTTAGTTGCAAACGACGGTACAACATACTATGAACATTTTTCCGACTGTGACCGAATGTGCAACGATATATTTTTCAAAGTTGTTTAATTAATAACAATTCCTAAAATTTGTTTATATAGTAAAACAGCCTGCTCAGCACTCACTACTCACGATGATTTCATTTAGAAATGCAGTTACCAGGAAAGGAACTGATTCTAAAATATGTAAAATTAAAAGCATTGGCTATTACGATGTGAAGACAAGGTACAAACTTTTATAGTTGCTATTTGTTATAAATCCTATAAATAAACCGATTCAACAATAATTTTGCCTCGAATTTGCATATTCTATGCTGCATGTTTATATTTTATTTTTATAGTATAAAAATAAAATTGTAATACTATGAAATAAAATACATTTCTGTTTATTGACCAGTACTTATTTAATGTCTTCTTCATCCAGCAGTCAGAGTAAATTTCTACTTCTAGCAAGTAAATATTTGACAAGCAGTCTGGAATAAGCACAGGAATAAGCACAATGAGCCATTTTATAGTAGCAATATAAAAAGTTTTTTTCTTTTTCCATGACTTTTAATGCATCAGCCAAATCCAAGTGTGCCCATCCCCCTCGCCCAGCCATTTTCCTGTAAAGCACATCCCGGGGGTTGGGTATTTCCACTCGAACCTTAGCCCCGGCGGGGCATTTGAAATTAATAATTTCGATTCTTGCACTTCACTTGGTGGAATTATTATTAGAATGTTAGGGTTTGTAATCCAAGTGAGAATATATACAATTATACATGTATATATTTTGTAATCCAAGTGAGAATATTTTGTAATCCAAGTGAAAATATACAAATGTATAGTACATGTATATATTTTGTGTATATATTTTGTAATCCAAATGAGAATAGTTTGTAATCCAAGTGAGAATATACAAATGTATATATTCTCACTTGGATTACAAACCCTAACATTCTAATGTTAATTCCAACAAGTTAAGTCCAAGAATATAAAATTATTGAAGTCCACCTTATCACAACCCGCACACCCGATTACCTAAATATACATGAACTTACTGTTAAAGCTCAACAGCTGGCCTCTGTAGCTCAGTTGATTAGAGCGCTGCACCGGAATCGCAGGGCCGTAGGTTCAATTCCTACCAGAGGACCTTGTGCTGCATTTTTCGCAGTCGTTTCTGGTTAGGTCTTAAAATGTATATATTCTCACTTGGATTACAAACCCTAACATTCTAATATTAAGGCCACCGCCAAGTGGAGTGCAAGAATCCAAATTATTGAAGTCCACCTTATCACAACCCGCACACCCAATTACCTAAATATACATGAACTTACGGTTAAAGCTCAACAGCTGGCCTCTGTAGCTCAGTTGGTTAGAGCGCTGCACCGGAATCGCAGGGCCGTAGGTTCAATTCCTACCAGAGGACCTTGTACTGCATTTTTCGCAATCGTTCCTGGTTAGGTCTTAAAATGTATATATTCTCACTTGGATTACAAACCCTAACATTCAAATATTAATCCCAACAAGTGAAGTGCAAGAATCCAAATTATTGAAGTCCACCTTATCATAACCCGCACACCCGATTACTTAAATATACATGAACTTACGGTT